GTGGTATAAAAATTTTACATACGATGTAACCAGCATATTCCTCATTTTCCTCGAATCGATCATGGAGCCAGACAAACTCTTCATGCTGTCTCACAACTAGATTGTCCGGTTTGTGAAATTCAGGTAGAGAAGTTTTTGTATGTACAGTAAATTTTACTTTATCCTTCTCGCTGAGAGCGTCCGAAATATCCACCTGCAGAGATTTATCCGAGAGGTCTATGGTATCTGCGTGGATTGTCTACAAAAATAGATTCGTCAATATCATGGCAGTGCATATCGAACAATTATCATACGATATGTTATCAATCGAAAAATTGGTGTGAGAGCTCACAATGGAAAAAGAGACATTATAAGTACCTTTTTGGTAGGGACGCTGTTTAAAATGTCGGCAGTGTCACATATTCCGTCCTGCAACATTTTAGCGCCAATTAGAGAGTGTAAAGTGCGTTTAAAAGAGAGCGGACCGCGACACTTTGCACTGATCGAACGCGTCAAGAGAATAGACTGCCGGCCAACGAATGATAACAGGTTCCACCTACCATCATGGCGTCCACTAGCGTCTCCTTTATACACCGTGTTTGACAGCAACTCGATTGTCAGAACACTATTCCAAATAACGCAAACGATCGTGTGACGAACGAACTGATGTCCAAAGGTCTATACGATAAGTTACTAATACCAGTTTCAACGCCATCTACGAAAACGAAAGAACGACGCCACATACAATGACTATATCTTGATTATTCTGTTTCTCATACACACATAAGTGAATTTATATTTTACATTTTATTTATTTTATTGATCTATTCTTTACTAATCTTGAAAAATATGGAAATAATAGATTAAAACTGTAAGTAAAAATAGTTTACATAATGGCAGTTTCCAGCAAGGAATTGATTGGGCGCATTCAGATCCACGAGTGATCAATGAACGTTCAATAAACACCCTAGATCTATGGCCGGTATTCATAGTCGAATCTTATTTCAAGATCATCTTAAGTAATGTCTTAAGGTACGAATACGACTCTATGGCCGGTATTCAGATCTTATATTTAATAGCGAATTCGGTAGCTTGCACTAGTGCGCACTGAGTGCGCATTAAGGCTTGTTTACAGTACATTCTTATATTTAAGATCATGTCTTAAATATATATTTAAAGACATTTTAACTAATAAAATGATTCGTACGGATGTTATACATATCATATTATGATTAAAAATATTTGAGAATTTATTTGAGAATTATTTAAGACAATCTTTAAATATAATAACATACTATGAA